CCTTTACTCTTCCTGGACCGAACTTGTACTATACAAGCGCAACCTGGAGATGAGAGGGAGCAAAGCCATTCCAACAAATCTAGACGAAGCTTTGCAGGAAATAAATTCTTCAATATTCCCAAACTTATTCACCAGTAGTAGTAAAAACACTTCCTGTCTCTAGCTGTGAGGCCGAGAGGTCTTTTTCTTCGCTCATGGAGGGGTTAAACACTTGGTTAAGATGAAGCATGGGAAATTCTTTGTAAATATGCATCCACGAGCCCTACAATATTCCATTGTTGAAGGACAGATATTATTGAATTGTTCTTTTTTAATCATAAGAAATTTTTTTTTAAAGTACATTTTAATTCTCCTTGAAGGAATTGAAATTTTGCCAGAAACTCTGATATTTAAATTCCTTTCATTTTATCTTTGCAACCCCATGTCGTAGATATCAAACTTTGAATTCTTTTGGTAAAATATTCCAAGTTTGAAATATCAAATATTTACTCCAATTGGTTCAAAGATTTAGGGATTAGAATATTTGAGTTTGTGGCAAAAACTCAGTTCCAAATCTAGAGAAAATTATGAACCTAGCAAAGGAATTGAGTCTTTGCCACAAACTCAAATTCTATAATCCCCTTATCTTGGCAGCCTGATGGTGTAAATCTTTGATATTTCAAACTTAGACAATTTGATCCGACAGAATTTAAACTTTGGAATATCTAAGTTCTACGACATTTAGATGCAAAGAAATGGAGATTAGAAAATCAGAGTTTGTGGCAGAGACTCAATTCCTTTCTAACTGAATATCATATTTGATAACTAACAAGATTTATCTTCTTTGACAGAAGTTCTATAAAATCGAAAATGAATTTAGATTATGAATGTTGGTTATCAATATCATTAATTCAATAACTTCAAGAGAAAAGGTAACATTATCTGTCCTTTGTCAATGTAGATGATTGAATTTGTTATTTACCTATGTATTTTTAAGATTATTTCTTGCAATTTAATCTGTAATTAAACCAGGTACTTAAAATTCGCACACATATTCAATGAATTGACTAATATCATTCATTTTACAACTGTTGGAAGTATAAATTTTGTAAAAACTCAAGAACAAAAAATCGATTTGAATTGAACACAGCCAAATCTGTATGCAACAACTTAAAATTTCCTTTTTTTCGACTTCAAACCCTTAAAAAAAACTTTTGTTTTTGAAAAATTTTCGAAAAGGGGGGGGAACCCCCCTTAACCCCCCCCCTGAACCTTACAAAATAATATATTGCCCCCCCTAGCAAAAGTCCTAGTTGCGCCTCTGTGTACAGTACACATACAGATCATACCAGACAAAACAGGACAGTACACTAAATGAACCAGCCCCTTCAATGGATATCTAATTCAAACGTAATCAGACAAAGCTTTTAAAGGTACCCTTGTAAATCGAGCATTGTAATCTTTCCATAGAGGGTCACTTAAATTTACGCTAACAGACCCTTCAATCTGATAAAAGCTGATTTACTGATAGTCATACTTGTTAATGATTGAATTATAAAAGCTGATTTACTGATAATCATACTTGTTAATTATTGAATTATAAAAACTGATTTACTGATAGTCATACTTGTTAATTATTGAATTATAAAATCTGATTTACTGATAGTCATACTTGTTAATTATTGAATTATAAAATCTGATTTACTGATAGTCATACTTGTTAATTATTGAATTATAAAATCTGATTTACTGATAGTCATACTTGTTAATTATTGAATTATAAAAGCTGGTTTACTGATAGTCATACTTGTTAATTATTGAATTATAAAAGCTGATTTACTGATAGTCATACTTGTTAATTATTCAATTCTTAATTCTTCGTTTCATTTATTGCTTTTGAATCTGTTTTAATAGTTTTTATAATTTAGCTACTCTTCCAAGAAACATGATTTAAATTAAATTATATTTGTTCAGAAAAATAGATTAAAAACAACAATTTAGAGAAATTTAACGAAAAGAAGCCATATTGAAGTAAAGTTGGAGAGCTAGCTAGATGATATTCCAAAAGATATGCTCTGGATACTTTTTGGGCGATTTTTTTTTAAATTTTAAATAGTTTACTCAGATATGGTTTTTTGAGAAGGAGTTTACATGTTTCTATAAGTTCCCCCTAAATAAATGTAGAGCAATGCCAGGTCAAATATGATTTGAAGAACCCTGTAGAAACTACAGGCTTACCCAAAAAGCATGAAACTGTAAAGACGACCAGAAACTTTTAAAATATAACAGTCCCAAGGTTAAATTAAGTCTTGTATAGAATTTGAATGGCTGTATTTAATGATTTGACAAAGAGAGAAAGGGATCATATATAAAAAAAAATTCATCCTGAAGTCTCATCCTTTGTTGGTATCTCTGTAAGTTTCCTAGATTAATATTCAAGAAGTCTCCTTGCTTGGATTAAGTTTGTTCCGGTTCTATGAAAACCTATATTATGAACTCGGGAAAACAGGAAAATTATTTTAAAAACTTTCAATTCAACTATCGACAAACTTGGTTTTTCAAAAACAAATCTCTAAATTAGAATTAAAACTCTGGACTATTTTTCATACAGAAGAGATGAGATCTATCTTTTCAAATGATTTTATTCTGCCCCCCCCCCCCCCCGGCCCTCACATCTCCTTTTTTGATACTTCAAAATTCCTTTATTTTAATAAAATATATGTAAATTAGTGAAATATAATAAAGTGAGTCAGACCCATAAAACTGAGGGATAGCCAATGTTTACAATTCGCAATTAATGTGTACACTATTTAAAATTAAAATAGTTCTGTTTACAATGCACAATTACTGTGTACAATATTTAAAATTAAAATAGGTCTATTTACAATAAGTAATTACTGTGTACATTGATTAAAATTAAAATATGTTTGTTCGCAATACGCAATTACTGTGAACACTATTATAATTAAAATAGGTCTGTTTACAATGCACAATTACTGTGTACAATATTTAAAATTAAAATAGGTCTATTTACAATGCGTAATTACTGTGTACATTAATTAAAATTAAAATATGTTTGTTCGCAATACGCAATTACTGTGAACACTATTATAATTAAAATAGGTCTGTTTACAATGCGCGATTACTGTGTACACTATTATAATTAAAATAGGTCTGTTTACAATGCGCGATTACTGTGTACACTATTAAAAATTAAAAATTTGAGACTTAACGTCGTCTTCCTAGTCCACTATTATGTGGATCCGACTGTAGTACAATCTTTAATTTATCTAATCCCGACATAATTTAATCTTATATATCCATAGATTTTTATTCATCCATCTATCTATCATCTATCTATCTATCTATCTATCTATCTATCTATTTATCTATCTATCTATCTATCTATCTATCTATCTATCTATCTATCTATCTATCTATCTATCTATCTATCTATCTATTTATCTATCTATCTATATATATATCTATCTATCTATCCATCTATCTATCTATCTATCTATCTATCTATCTATCTATCTATCTACTAATCCATCTATCTACCTTGAATCTGGAGAATTGGAAGCCTAATGATGGTTTTATACAGTATACAGGGACCAGATCATCCACAACATCATTATACTTCAGAACTTCAACAATACTCCTATTCCTAAAGAACACTCCACAGGAACTCCTATTCATAAATAATACTCCTACAGGAACTCCTATTTCTAAACAATACTCCTACAGGAACTCCTATTCATAAATAATACTCCTACAGGAACTCCTATGCCTAAACAATACTCCTACAGGAACTCCTATTCCTTAATAATACTCCTACAGGAACTCCTAACTCCTATTCCTAAATAAAACTCCTACAGGGACTCCTATTCCTAAAAAATACTCCTACAGGAACTCCTATTTCTATACAATACTCCTACAGGAACTCCTATTCCTAATTAATACTCCTGCAGGAACTCCTATTCCTTAATAATACTCCTACAGGAACTCCTAACTCCTATTCCTAAAAAAACTCCTACAGGAACTCCTATTCCCAAACAATACTCCTACAGGAATTCCTCTTTTCCTAAACAATACTCCTACAGGAACTCATATTCCTAAATATATAATACTCCTACAGGAACTCCTATTCCTAACACAATACTCCTACAGGAACTCCTATTCCTAAACAATACTCCTACAGGAACTCTTCTTTTCCTAAACAATACTCCTACAGNCCAACGCCCCTCAAATCTCCTTTTTTAATACTTCAAAATTCCTTCATTTTAATAAAATATATGTAAATTAGTGAAATATAATAAAGTGAGTTAGACCCATAAAACTGAGGGATAGCCAAATGGAAGACGATATTTAAGAAATGTATATTTAACTAATTAAATAAAATCGATTGACCTGTAGCTTGAAAAACTATTTTTTAAATATAATAGGTCCGTTTATAATGCGCTATTACTGTGTACACTATTTCTAAACATACTTCTACAGGAACTCCTATTTCTAATTAATACTCCTACAGGAACTCCTATTTCTAATTAATACTCCTACAGGAACTCCTATTCCTAATTAATACTCGTACAGGAACTCCTATTCCTAATTAATACTCCTACAGGAACTCCTATTTCTATTTAATACTCGTACAGGAACTCCTATTCCTAATTAATACTTGTACAGGAACTCCTATTCCTAATTAATACTCGTACAGGAACTCCTATTCCTAATTAATACTCCTACAGGAACTCCTATTCCTAATTAATACTCGTACAGGAACTCCTATTCCTAATTAATACTCCTACAGGAACTCCTATTCCTAATTAATATTCGTACAGGAACTACAAAATGGAGGCCAAATAAAATTATTTTATCCGATCACCAAACCAAATTCATCACATCCTGTTAGTTTTATTCTAAAATTGTATTCTAGACAAGTATGATTTTATTACACAAAGCAACGTTTTTACACTGATTTTCAAAACGAAAAATGGAAAAGGGTTTTTAAATTGTTTTGAAATATCGTTTTGGTTTTTATCTTTAATCATAGTAAAAACTTTGCTGTGTGCAATAAAGCAAACTGGTATAGCATGCAATTTTAAAATAGGATTTCCATCTCAGATTCTTGTGAAACCTTCAAAAATCCTAAAACTTTGAATGTTTTAAAAACAGGCCTCAAAACCATGATCCTTATTATGTATGAGTCAAAAATTATAGATATTTTAATTTACAAGGATTTGCATTATTATTATCCAACTGTTGAATGATCCAGTCCATGCTGATACTAACACTTTGATAAAGATGAGGTGTTCGACCATCTTCATCCTCACAACCACATCGACAAGGTATCGGAAGCTTCAATAGTAAATTAGTAATAGCACTTGCTACTCCAACTGTCAATGACATCTCATTTCTTTAAATTTCTTTCATGAGAGGGTTGTTAAGACTGATTTGAGAGGGTTGTTAAGACTGATTGTTATAATTACTTACTTGAGATTTTATGTTAATGACAAATATTAAATAAGCCGTATCAATGACAAAGGAATGCTGCAAAACTGAGCCCTCGATATAAAAGCAAGTCATAATTCCTGAAACCCAGGTTTAAGGCTCAATTAGACACAACTCTGATTATTGCTTGTGTCATGTGATTGACAGCTGCAAGATCTTTGGCTCGACTTGCGATGTTAGGCCTAGGGTTTCAAATCGGAATTCCGTTGAGCGGAATTGCACACAATTAATTGCTTCCACTTGGGCCATTTTTTTATGCAGAATTGCTCTATGATGGCGAACAAGTAAGCATTTAATATTCGCAGAAATGTTTGTTTAAAGTTTAAATTGATTTTTTTTATTAACTTGTGCCGTAAATAAGCCCCAATGATAGCAATAATCGCTTTTGATCGCTACTAATCTAACTTCTATATATTGCATCTATAAGGAGAAAATTGTTAAAAACTACTTATACTGAATAACCTCGCATCCTTACAAATTCAGAAAGTTGCAATATTCAACTCGTATCGTAAAAAAAATCAATTTAATTTCAAACAAATCATTCATATATTACAACCTATAGTCATCAATTATTTTTCAACGCATTCCTATAAAGTTAATATTTCATAATCTTTTGTATTCGTTTTGTATACAATGCATTTAAAATGCCAAAATAGTTGGCCGGCAGAAGTTTCTGTTCTGGATGCTTTGAATGATTATGCATGGCAGAGACACCTAGTGGAAAAAAGTTGTTTAAAGTGCATTGTATGTAAAACAAATAATAAATATTATGAAATATTAACTATATATGAATGCGTCAAAAAATAATCAATGACTTTAGGTTGTAATATCTGAATGAGCATCCATACAAATTCAGAAAGTTGCAATATTCAACTCAGATCGTAAAAAAATCAATTTAATTTAAAACAAATCATTCATATATTACAACCTAAAGTCATCAATTATTTTTCAATGCATTTGTATAAAGTAAATATTTCATAATCTGTTGTAATCGTTTTGTATACAATGCATTTAAAACGCCAAAATAGTTGGCTGCCAGAAGTCTCTGTTCTGGATGCTTTGAATGATTATGCATGGCAGAGACACCTAGGGGAAAAAAGTTGTTTAAAGTGCATTGTATGTAAAACAAATAACGAATATTATGAAATATTAACTATATATGAATGTGTCAAAAACTAATCAATGAATATAGGTTGTAATATCTGAATGAGCATCCGTACAAATTCAGAATGTTGCAATATACGACTTGAATCGTGAAATAATCAATTTAATTTAAAACAAATCATTCATATATTACAACCTAAAGTCATCAATTATTTTTCAACGCATTCCTATAAAGTCAATATTTCATAATCTGTTATAATCGTTTTGTATACAATGCATTTAAAACGCGAAAATAGTTGGCTGCCAGAAGCCTCTGTTCTGGATGCTTTGAATGATTATGCATGGCAGAGACACCTAGGGGAAAAAAGTTGTTTAAAGTGCATTGTATATAAAACAAATAACGAATATTATGAAATATTAACTAAATATGAATGTGTCAAAAACTAATCAATGAATATAGGTTGTAATATCTGAATGAGCATCCATACAAATTCAGAAAGTTGCAATATTCAACTCAGATCGTAAAAAAATCAATTTAATTTAAAACAAATCATTCATATATTACAACCTAAAGTCATCAATTATTTTTCAACGCATTCCTATAAAGTCAATATTTCATAATCTGTTATAATCGTTTTGTATACAATGCATTTAAATCGCGAAAATAGTTGGCTGCCAGAAGCCTCTGTTCTGGATGCTTTGAATGATTATGCATGGCAGAGACACCTAGGGGAAAAAAGTTGTTTAAAGTGCATTGTATATAAAACAAATAACGAATATTATGAAATATTAACTAAATATGAATGCGTCAAAAAATAATCAATGACTTTAGGTTGTAATATCTGAATGATTTGTTTGAAATTAAATTGATTATTTTACAATACGAGTCGTATTATAAATGTTGAATGAGAATTAAGTAAAGAAAATCTAATTAAAGAAACTCAATATACATGATAAGGACAGGTTCAATTTGTTGTTTGTCGACTCCGGGTTACTCCATGGAACTTTCCATCTAACGGTTCAGTACAACTTTCTTATATTTATAGACCTCGTGTCAGGATTTGTACAAAGGATGATTGGTTTACACCCACCCCTGATTCTATCATCATGGAAACCTTGATGATAGAATCCATCATGATCATGGGCATCCCTCAGGGTGGAATGGTGTCTGCCCTCACAACATGATTGGTCTGTTCAACAATGTCAAGATTACATTCAGCGGCTGTGATCTTTGAAGACAATTTTCTACTCTTGTGTTAACCCTTGTTCTCCCCATAGGTTTTAACTTTTAATAATATTTCCCCCTTGGAGACAAATACATTTTTCATTGTTTCTTGAATCTCCAGGTCAAAAAATATCCCTGATCCTTGTTTAAATCTTGTTTTCCTTGTTGGGATTTTAACTTCTGGGAACTAATTTCCCTTTGGAGAAAAATATATTCCATTGTTTCTTGAATCTCCTTGTCATGGTTTATGACCTGATCCTAGAGGATTACCGACCGGGAATATGTTCTGTCCCTAATCATCCCATGAACATGATGGAGGGTGAGGGTGTCTCTGTTCTCCTGGTCTGTCCTCTGCCTTGTCTCCGCCACATATCTCCGGGTTCACCAGCCTGACCAACATCTCGCCCTTTCTGACCTGCATAAAGATATCATTATTGTTTATCATGTACATGGATAGAGAATGTAATGCTCTTGCCTGGGGTGAGAATTTGGATACCACTAGGTTTCGTTCAATGATTGTATTTAGAAATACTGGAAATTAAAAATCATTGTTGCTTTTTCTATTTAAATTGCTAACACTAAATGGTATCCACTTTCCTTGCCTGGGCTGAATTATTACTGTATTTCTTACTTTGGCAATTAAAACCTTTTTCTCCCCAATGGCATGAATCCCCCCTTCTTTTCTTCTCAATGTCGTCTTCACTGTCAGTCCAGCTACTACTTTCTCCTTTGTCTCTACTTCCTGACCTTCTTCCTTGTCTACTTACTGACTTATTTTCTACTGCATATTTTGTCATTCTGTCCACTGATGACTTATTAATTTTGATACTCCCTGTCTGGTCTATCTTTTCCAGTGATACTGCTTTGGGTCTGGTTGATGCTCTGCTCTCCCTTGATGTACTCCTTCTCCTTTTTTGACGGAGGTCCCATTGGTTGAGGAGTTTTCTCCAATGCTTCATTGAGTGCAGTTTTCACAATTGAGGAGCCTGATTTCATGAATGTCTTGGGTACTCCTGGACGTGTCCTGTTCCTGGAGAAGGATCATATTTCTCTATTATTTTGGTTATTCTGCTTCCTGTTCCCAATGATCCTGTTGTTGTTGACAGTGATGTTCCTTCTTTAATCCTTAATTCTGGTCTTGATTCTTTTTGTGTCTCAGGTTTGATTCTCTGTACTGTTTCTATTGAGGCTGCGGAGGTCAGTTGATCCTCTGTTATTGTCTTGTCCTCATCCTGTATAGTGTCTGTGTGAGGAGGGAGGGAAGGCCAAGCGGCCATGAACCCCGTGGAAAGGTCTCCGAAACCCTGCAGAAACAGTCTCCGAACCCCGTGGAAAATCTCCGAACCCTGTAAGGAGCAAAAAATGTGTTTTTCTGGGGGAAATCGCATGATTTTTGAATTTTTTTCAACATATGGCACAGGATCAAACAAAAGTATTACTAATAAATGCAATTTTGATCTTATTCACGGCCCTAGTATATGTTTATTTTGTATTCCTGTTTTAAGCTTAAACTTTAAAATGGACCTACGCAACAACGCACAATGTTTTTAGTATTTCAATGATATTTTTCATGAAAATGCAATAACATGTTTTAACGTAGTCCACCACTTTTTTAATTCCCGTCATCAAAGGGCAGTTTTACTCCATAATATCATTTTTTACTGTCTCCCCTTTAAAAGTGACCTACGCTGTAATTATTATATCTACACACGCAAGAAATATAAATATTGA